GATGATTCGGTGCCATACAGGGAACTGGTGGGCAGTTTGATGTACCTAGCCCTAGGTACTAGGCCCGACATCGCTCATGCAGTCAGCGTGTTAAGCCAATTTAATTCTTGTCACGAGAAGAAACACTGGACAGCAGCTAAGCATGTGCTTAGGTACCTGAAGAACACCGTCAATTTGGCTCTGTGTTTCGAACGTACAAACAAAGGTCTAACTGGATACGTGGATGCCGATTGGGGCAATTGTGCGATGGACAGGCGGTCGTATACTGGAACAGCCTTTATTCTTGCTGGAGGCGCTATTTTCTGGGAATCCCGAAAGCAGAGGACAGTCGCGTTTTCTTCGACCGAGGCCGAATATATGGGGCTGACTGATGCAGCCAAGGAGGCTGTGTACCTCATCAATTTTCTAAAGGAGCTTGGTTTGGAAAAGCTAACGAATGTCAATTTGTATAACGACAATCAAGGAGCCAAGGAACTGGCGCACAACCCTGTCTACCACGGAAGATCCAAACACATCGACATTCGTCATCATTTTATTCGAGAAGTATTAAATGAACATCCCGTAAAACTCGAATATCTACCTACAGAAGAGATGGTGGCGGATGTACTTACCAAAAACCTACCAAGAGGAAAACACGAATTTTGTGTTCGCGGACTTGGGTTAAAGTACATTAATAACGAAGGACTGTAAAATTGAGGGAGAGTGTTAGAGATTCAATTCTACCGCCTTCCTTCATTATAACTATTATTCACTAGACGTTTCTTATTGGCTCAGATGGCGTCTCGGTAGAGCTATACGCGGTTCACATACACTCATTCATTGCTATTCGTTCGTTAAGTTAGGTCAGAGAGACGCCCGCCCTTTTATAATACATTACATACATTTTCTGTTCTCCACGCTATTGTGTGTCGTAAATAAAGAAGCACTATTGTACGTTCTGTGTCCGATCATTATCCAACAGGAAAAATTCACACAAATTTTAAAATGAATCTGCCCCCTGCAGGAGATATTCCGTATACTTATTCGAGACCAGGTATATCTTAATTACGTATTTATTTATATAAGTATTATATTAAATATTAAACCTTTATTTTCGTTGTTTTCTAAAGAAAATAAAACACTGCGATATCGAGTAATTACAAGTTTATCAGTATTGAAAGGCGACGCTGTTGTTCGTATCTCCAAGTTTTTAAATATAATCCGCACAATTTTGTAAATTATGCCATTGTTTCACTGTAGCATGGTCATTGTTTCTTTAAATACAAAAAATATATGTTAACGCTATTTTATAACGCTATTGAAATTTCTCTACTAAGGGCCGATTTCACAGTCTCCGATTAACTGGATCGCGATTAAACTCACTCTTCGTCTCTTTCTAGGGGGACAGTTAAAAAAAGATGCAGAGTGAGTTTAATCGGATGAGGATCACATTAATCGGGAACTGTGAAATCGGCTCTAAAAACCAAATTCTATAGGGTTTTAAAATTATATTTGTAATTGTAATGTATTATATTTCTTGACACGTACTTATTATTATTTATATATTGCCTCGTTAAGTATTTGAATATATTTCAATTTCTATAAATTGTTAATTATTAGACCTCTTTGCTGTGATTCACACTCACTTAGAATTATCCGTGAATTTTGACCGTCAAGTTCTTGAGGGCAAGGCAATATTGACAATAGAGAAGAAAATGTTGACGCGGTGTAATGAACTAGTTAGTAAACATTTTCTTTTAATTTTAGTATATATATATATATATATATATATATATATACAAATAATACGTGCACACAATTTGAAATTAATTGGAAAATTATATGTTGATAGATGTTGTAAAATTTATTGTTTTATGTAAAGCCGCAATAAAGTATCATATATAGTTGCGTGCAATTTCCGCATAACAATTAATAATTTGTTAAAATTTCCGTTTTATAAAACAGAATACTCTGAAAAATTATTTCTCTAAAATGCTATTAATTTAACAAGGTTAGTAATCAATTAATTGAATATAAATATTGAATTATTAATTATGCATTGAAATAGACCGTGCTCTCCTAGGCGACAGGAAGGTCTATCACAGCATGCTGCCTGCCGGCAGGAGTCACGCTGTTCGTCTGATTGCAAACACAAGGTCAGCTATAAACTGTAGCGCGGTCAAGAAAACTTTTAACAATTTGTAAAATAATTTCATAATAATTTTACCGATTATTCTTTGATATTTATATTGAGAAATACAGATGCAACTATCGCAATATTTCGTAAGCTGAATTGGACCCTCTCTTCCCCTGCTTTATTTTTCACACGTTTTACAACATGGTCTGCTAATTAAAGTATAGAATAGACAAAACAGCTATAAGTTTCAAATTAATGTATAAACATAAACATATACGATCAGACGTCTGGCAAATTGAACTCACATTAAACAGGATTCTATCGGATCCTTTTAAATTTCTAATTTTTTCAAAAGGCTTTACTTCTTTTATTTTTTTTCTTATTTTAAATTCTAAGCCGAAACAGAATTTTAGAGATAATTATGGTTATGCTGTTGAGCAACTCACATGTAACAATAAGAGAAACAACAGTAGGGAAGAAATGCAGTTTAAAACGAATAAAAAATTTACAAAATTTTTAAACGAAAAAATGTGACAAATACGATAACAAATACATAAAAAAGTAGCACTTCTTTAGAAAAATTAAGCGATATATTTATATATACTATATAAATATAGTTAATATTATTTTTTGTGCGACAAAATGTTTATTTATGACATATCAAAGAATAAGAAACTAGTTGGTGTCGTAATTAAAGGTACATGAATATGTAAAGAGACAAAGAATTATGTTTGATTTGTGCTGCATGTGCTGCGTGAAGACATTGGTTATTACATGAGATATGAATTATGAACAAACGCGGTTTCAATGTGTTATGTATGTTAAGTATATGTCTGCCAACACACCTGGAATTTTGATAAAATGTCGCGTACGCTAAAGTTTGCACTTCAAAGTTGAAATTTGTGCTTCAATTCCTTTCTTAATTGCAAAGGAGCGAAATTCTAGTGAAATTTACAAAGAGCTAAGAAACGGTTATAATCTAAGAGACGTAGAAAATTGCCTAATAGCATTAATTATTTTGCACAATAGAATAGGGCCGCACGTGTCAACGCAAGCGACATCCCTTGTGCAGCAATTTTGTTCGGAAATTTTATCTCATCTACAGTCCGGACTTTTCAGGCTCTGACTATCATTTTTTATTAGTTCTTTAGGTTGGTGTTGCAGGAAAGCAATATAAGAAAAATGAAAAACTTAAGGAAGCAGTAACATCTCTCTTCTATTATACATGACTTGGACGAAATTTTTCCAAAGACGGAATCTTTAAATTAGTGAACCGCTGGAACACATGTTTTAAAATATTAAAAGTAACTACGTAAAGAAATAGTTAATTGTATTTTTACACGTACATACACGCATTTATGTGTTAATAAACATTTTGCATATTTTTTAAGAGTTATAGTTCTTTAATACTTAGTTTTATTGTTAGTCCTATGCTTCTTATATGTGTACAAAATATATATTGGTTACTATGCCATGGCTTTCCACATACACATTAATATATAATTCCTATAATGTATACATACTTCTTCATCATTCGTGTACTCAAATACATTATATATTACTTTTTAGCGTTGTTTCAAATTAAGATTTTTATTTACTTTCTATGTTTTATTTAGTGTATTAAATGTAATTTTATGGTTGAGAAGAAAGTTATTTTTTGATTTACTCTCATATTACAATATACTCAATTCTAGCGCACAAATCCGCTACAAATCGAATAATTTCGAAGATATTTTATTAGCAAGAATTAAAATCCAACAAACATCAATTTTTAACAGGATTATCAAAAAATCGACGAATACATGTTACAGCTGTCATGTTACAGCTGTCTTTTAAGCATTAGAAAAGAAAAATTAATTTTCTAACTAAATTAATTTTCAGTTATAAATATTATAAATAAAAAATTGATGTCAACAACATATACACAAAAATTTTTCTGAAATTGAGATTATGAGGTAATAACTATTTTTAGTATTTTTATCCTATATAATAAATATTATTCATCGAATGGAGAAAATGCGAGGTATGCATACGCGATTCAAGCAGATAGTATCAAGAATTTATTTACGTTTATCTAGGATTCGATCTCTTTGTCAAAATCTGACATATTAGTTGAAGTAATACGTAGTCTATTGCAAAAAAAATGAAGTTTAAAGATTTATGCTGATACATTTATGTTTAATACAATAAATTACTCTACTACGATAATTACATGTTGTTTCTGTATACATTAATTATATAATATTCTGTATATAAGAGATATATTTTTTTTTACAAATTCAAATGTTATTCGACGATTCGATGGGAATTATCATTAGGCATCATCGTGAAATCTAGTTATTTCCTATCTCGTTGGCTCTGCAACTCAGAAACTGAAATAAACGCGAGATATAGAAATTTGTCTCTACCAAATTAGTTTCATAAATATTTCTACATTTTTTAAGAGTCTTTTTCATATAGTAAAAGAATTATATATTGCAGTTACTAAATGACTTACCCATTAAAAATAAAATCAGGCTAATTGTTAAGTTTGTAAAATTTGTTTTATTTTTTTCCGGGTTTCATTCAACATCTTTTCTTTAATGCGATTATATGTTTCAATCGCTTTTATACGCATTTTTTCCCATTCGCACAAATGTTGAAATATAGGAGATGCATAATTTGGCGAACAATGTTCGGTAGCAAAATTCAAAGCTTGTGCAACTTTGTCAGCCCATCGAATTTTAATGCACAATAGCAGCCAAAGAAATCTGTGAAATACAAGATGCACTTTACATTAAGCAATTGCGAATCAATTTAAATGAGAATATGCATATTTACCGCATTTTTCCACTCATGTTAAACCGGAAGAATTGATAGTAAATACAATCCAGTTTTTCTATGGTCATAAACCTATAATATAGATTTAAGTAGTTTAATAATATTATTTTCTGAACGTTACAGAGGTTCATATCGTCTGCTGTCACTGCAGGAAAAGGTACATCATGAACACGATTATCCCAATCGATCCATTTTGTAACTATGCCGAAACTCTTATTTTCCCACAAGGAGGACATTTGGTCGGTCAAATAAGGCGGGGTGGTGAGGAAATTAGGGTGAGGAAAAGTGTCGTCACCAAACCAGAAGTCCCAATTAACTCTATCTAACTTCTGAAATCAACAAAAAGGTCATTATATAAACATATTAGATACTGATAAAACTGTAGTTTGTATGTATAAAAAAAATGTTACCTCCTTTTTGTTAGAAAAATATTTATACAAATAGTCTTTCCAATCCTTAGTGTTTATACTTTCGTATGCGAATTTACGAAAATACGAAATAAAAAATGGTTCGAATACTGTGGGTCCTCCTAATATATTCTCCAGATGACATAAGAGAAAATATCCCATCTCGTAAAGCACATATTTAGTGATTACATGTGGTAACTCTGAGGTGAATTGAAAATTGGGTAATAAGCATCTTAGCAAAGCGACATTTGCGGGTTCTCAGACCTACAATACAATTTACACAAAAAATAATCTGGTAAGAATTCAGAAATTGGGTGTACACGTTTGTAGTGCATACATTGTAAAATATTATCAATTGGTGACATTATTTATTACTTTATTTCTTTACTTATTGTTAGTCAAAGTGAATATCTTACCAAACTATTATAATTCTTTGCTCCTTCCCTTTGAAGAAAAGCATCTATGTTTTCATGATACAAAACTCTGCGTTTAATTTGTCTGGAAATAAAAATGCTGAAACTCTTATTTAACCATAAATGCTGATAATTCTCACACGTAACAAAATTTCTTGCCCAGCTCTGTGAGATGTTCCGAGCTAGCGAATAAATGACGTAAGAACGATCTCCGCCAAGTAGAGTCGGCGAAATAAATGTCACGCATGGACATTCTATTTCGAAATGGGCGATACTTGGTGGAAGCACGCATATAACGTATTTATCTATATAGAAGTATTATTTTAAACGTATAAATAACAAAAAAAAAAACAACAGAAAGATTGCACTGCAAATCCAAGTGCGTTATTTTTACACAGAAACGTTTAATCTTTTGTAACCTTCGATTAGACTCACTCTTCATCGCTTTCTAACTGGTTCTCTTAAAAAGAGTTAATCGACGTTGGTGAAACTGGCCCTAAAAATAACACATTTGACTGAAGCTCTTTTAACACGCTTCTTTATGTGTTGAATTACGTCACTGACCACGCATATAATCGTATAAAATTAAAAGTTAATATGTCCAATTGTGTTAAGTGGCATGATTTAAAACGGCAAAAAATGTGTATGAAGAGCGTCAACTAAAATTAACAACAACAAAAAAACAACAAAAAAATTAACAAAAAAAAAAATAATCTATGTTAATGTAGAGAAATGTTTTTTTTAGCCAATTCACCTTGTTGTTAGACAGCAGAAAGGGATGACCACCAGTTTGGGCAGGTGTTAGCCAGTATAATGCATCTGACTGTGGAGTTGTTTTATATTCAATTTCAATTTCACAGCTGAAAATATCGTATTATGGGTGTCATTAATTCTTACATCAATAATTTTTAGTAAATATATTTCTTTAAAAATATTTTATATTTACTCAGGGTTATCAGTGCCAATAATTGATGGCAAATCTACGCGAATTGCATTTCCAAAGGCAGAATTAGTTTCATCAATATGACAATCTAAAAGTGTTCTATCAAGCACGTTTGTGACACGTCCTATATCAAGTCCGAGGTTATCTAAAATCTAATTATTCGATATTATATATATTAATAAATTGCAGTCTAAATTTCTACTCGATATGAAAAAAAATGTCTACTTACTATCTGATTAAGGAGGTTCTACAGGTACTCTCTAGTCAGTTGAGAGATGAAGAGAAAATCTTCAAATTCGTCGATTCTAAGTATTCATAAAATATTTTCGTGAATTTTGATGACGTTAGAGCTTATATCATACCCATATTAGTCGAAGCGAGGAATAATTAAAAATATCGTGTAAGTGCTCGTTTGACTCTGGCGGCTTATAATGGAAGAAAATGTGGTAACGTCGCGAACTTGACAGTTCTGCTCATATGACCGTGGTTATTTCACAATTTCACATAATTCTAGAGCGAGTACTTCTCCATAAGCGCTCGTAAACGTTAGGTGCTTAAGTTTGAGGTGCTGTCATACTGTGGTGCTGTACTGGCTGTACACTTTTCGCGCGGGTGCAGTCGCTGCGACATTGCCAAATCTCCCTTGTTATTCGAAGCACGCTACGTGAACTGTGATATGGCCTGTTTCAATAGCCAATATCACAAAATTTTACGCGATAACCCTTGTTTTTCTCGATATTTCTGAAAAGGTTAGATTAAGATCTATAAGAGCTCCGTTTTTTGAATCTTTGGTAGGTCGCCTTTATATAATTAATATCTCGTTTCCTGTCTCCAAGAGCCCCTCTGCCATATGTAGCTTATGTTAAAAACTGTGATTTCAAAATTCATTTTTGCAAATTTTTACACGGTAACCGATGCTAAAATTTTTCGAGCACTTTTCTCGTATCTCAATTTATACGTCCATAAAGTTTTTTCCAATTTTTAGATACATCCATTATCTGTAGAACCTCCTTAATTGAAGGTTGCCTTGTTATAGTCAAAATTGCTTTTCCTTCAAGAACTCTTTGATCGAAATCCACTATCAATTCTAAATCAGTATGGATTACACGTGCCAATTCTTATAATTAAGAAGATAAAAATAAAGAAGTATAAGTAATAAATAATAATATATAAATGTAATGAGTACGCACATAATAAAAAATAATATATATTATAATTATTATAGCAATTGCTTGTAATATTATTTGTAAAATGCAAACAGTTTTCAGGACCTTTATGCTAGAGAGAGAGAGAGAGAGAGAGAGAGAGAGAGAGAGAGAGAGAGAGAGAGAGAGAGAGAGAGAGATACATTATATTTATATTTATATTTATAAGAAGATGCGCAAAATGTTGTCAGTTAATAAAAACTGTGAGATAATCTAATTTTGAAAATTGGTACATTACTATAGAATCAAGTATATGTGTAGCAATTTTAATTTCAAACATCTATGAATTCCGCACTTTCTTATTTTATTGTATTTTCTTTAAGAAAATACTAAATACGTTAGTTTAAAGTATTTTTATTATGCTTATAATGTAGCTAATTAAATAATTAAAATACCTGGTAACGCAAATGAGTGTGGATCTTTTGCAGAAATGGGAACATTCATTTTAGGAGAGTAACGTTGTAGCCTTTTCCATCGACTTGCGATAATAGAACTGTGTATGTCTAAACTGGCCGCACAAGGGAACAGTATTGCTTTCAACTTTTCTCACCTTCTTATGTCTAGCGATATATTCTGTTTATTAGAACGTCAAAATGACTGTGACTTTTCGCACACAAACAAATTCGACTTGGTTGAATTTAGTACATATAACTGTGTACCCGTCACATACTTTGAAACTGAGTTATTTTAATTATATTTTCTCTAGCTCGTCTTATTTTCTATTTTTAATACTTAGATACATATTTCCTTTATTTTAAATAGGCAAATGGCATGAGTGGCAGCAAAGAGGGACATATGCCCTCCCTTTATTTTATTTTTTTCGATTTAGAATAATTTTATGATTGAGACAATCAGAAACTTTTTTTTTAATTTATACAAGAGTAAAAATCTGCATGAATATTTCTTTAACAAATATTATTTAAAAATACCTTTGTCTGGCAGAGCTTTATATATATAAATCGAAAAATTCCATATGCATGGAAACATTGAAAAAATTTTTTTTTTTTTTAATAATCGAACTCGATCAATAAATGGGATTTTATCTTCTGAGGGTTATCATGAAATTTACTAGAGTATCTATACGATTTTAATTATATAAGTTAGTAGTTCACTTTTGTAAAAATTTACCCCGTTGCATGATTAATCAACTCCCCTTAAGTTAAGAAATTCAAGAAATTTGAAAATTGCCTTTTCTTCGAATAATTATATTTCATCGTTTTTTTCAAATAGGTACTTTATAATTTGTTAAATTTTTATAATTTACATCAAATGAAATACCTTATTTTTTAACTTCCAGTCTTTTACAAACTGAACAAAAATGGTATCCCTCAGTATATTAGCACTCATCTGCCCTTCCCTCCAACTCCCTTGAAAACTTTGTAAGGGCGCTTATGACAGAAAGTGAATGAATAGGCGATAAAAAAGATTTCTTTTTCGTTCACATGCAACGAATACAGTTAACTTCCCCGTTAATTTTGCAACCCATTGGGTAAAGAGCCACTACCACCGGGCCAATCTCGTACTCGGAGGGTAGTTATAGTCGGCGAAGAGCCCTGTGATATCATGATGCTAAGAAAAATATACACTGTACTTTGCAAGATATGCGCACACATATAATGGACATAAAATATTTAACATAATAAAGTAAATGTCAAATATTTTATTCAATGCATCACAAGTTAATTACTAATTAAAGGTTGATATATATGTTATTGTTTTTAATATATATATTATTGTTTTTCGTTGCTCTGCACATTACTCAGTCCTGCAATTCATATATATGCACGTAATACGTAAACACAATTTGAAATTAATTGGAAAATGATATATGTTGATAGATGTAAATTTATTGTCTTATGTAAGGCCGCAATAAAGTATTAGATGCGTCCAATTTCCGCATAACGATTTATAATTCGTCGAAGTTTCCGTTTTATAAAACGCAATATACTCTGAAAAATTATTTCTCTAAAATGCTATTATTTCGATAAGAATGTCAGTAGTATGTTAGCAATCAATTAATTGAATATAAATATTAAATTATTAATTATGCATTGAAATGGGCCGTATTCCCCTGGGCGACAGGACAGAATGTTAAATAACATGCTGTCTGCCGGCAGGAGTCAGGCTGTCCGTCTGATTGCAAACACAAGATTATTTTTTGATATTTATATTGAGTAATACGGGTGCAACTTTCGCAATGTTTCGTGAGTTCAATTTGACCCTTCTCTTTTTCTACTTTATTTTTTACAACATGGGCTGTTAATCTATACTGGTCTATATCTATACTATTATCTATCTATATCTATATCTTATCTTATCTTATCTCATCTTATCTATATTACTATTATACTATTATACTATTGTACTATTATATTATATGAAATCCTTACGGGTGGTGTATGTTTGAACGTTAATAACTTGAAAACTATTGGACCGAATTTTTACCACAAGTACATGAAATAGGAATAGAATTTTCCGGGGAGTGCTATAGAGTGTGTAGTTTTTTGTCACCGATTTTCTGGAAACCGATTTTTTTAATTTTTCTAATTCTTACGGGTAAAAGAATTAAAAAAATCGGTTTTCAGAAAATAGATAACGAAAAACTATACACTCTATAGCACTCCCCGAAAAATTCTACCCCTATTTTATATGGTTTTAATACAAATTCGATCCAATAGTTTTTAAGTTAAAAACGTTCAAACATACACCACCCGTAAGAATTAGAAAAATAAAAAAAAACGTTATTAACTTAAAAACTATTGGACCGAATTTTTTTTTATATTAGAACCATATAAAATAGAGGTAGAATTTTCCGGCGAGTGCTATAGAGTGTATAGTTTTTCGTTATTTATTTTCTGGAAACCCATTTTTTAAATTTTTTTAATTCTTACAAGTGGTGTATGTTTGAACTTTTTTAACTTAAAAACTATTGGACCGAATTTGTATTAAAACCATATAAAATAGGGGTAGAATTTTCCGGGGAGTGCTATAGAATGTATAGTTTTTTGTTACCGATCTTCTGGAAACCGGTTTTCTAATTTTTTATATTCTTACGCGAAATAATTGACCGAATCTCAGAGAATTATATATGAAACAAGGATAGAATTTTCCGGGGAGTAATATAAAGTGTATAATTTTTTGTTTCCAATCTTTTTGGAAACTGGTACCAAACTTTTTCCAATTTTTCGGAAATTAATTGCCCGAATTTCGAAGAATTGAATTTTGTGATATAAAGTGTATAATTTTTTGTTACCGATCTTTTTGGAAATTGTTATAAAAAATTTTTTGAATTTTTTGGGAAATAATTGATTGAATCTTAAAGAATTGTATATAAAACAGAGGTAGAATTTCTCGGGAAGTGTTATAAACTGTATTAGTTTTTTGTTACCGATCTTTCAAAAATTTTATTAATTTTTCGAGGATGGGTTTAATTGCCACAATGTGTATTATTTTTCGATAACAATTTATTTTTTTATGTCGGATAAGTTGTTTATTTCACATATTATATGTGAACAGTCACTTCAATTCGTGGCTTTCGTGACTGTCGCGAGTGATAGAAAAGTTATTGGAATTTTTTTGCAATAACCTGTAGTTAAAACAAAAGAAACAACTTATTCGATTTTTATATAAATAAGATTATCATTAAAAATTTCGATAAATAGAAAAAAAAATTTTCAAGAAATAATTTACACAAAAAAAATGATGCCAAAATTTTATTAAAATATGTGTAAAATAATTTAATTTTTTATAAGAGGGAGAGGGAGAGGGAGAAGGAGAAGAAGATAGAAAGGGAGGGAGAGAGAGAGAGAGAGAGAGAGAGAGAGAGAGAGAGAGAGAGAGAGAGAGAGAATGAATGAATGAATTGATCTTTATTAGCCTTCTCGGCTATTTTTTACAACACATAATCTTACAATAATTC